GGACGATGCGCGGCCGCAAGTTTGGCGCGCAGCCAGAAGTCGGTGCGCAGTCGTGCCGTTACAGCGGGGACCTTTGGCGGCGCACGCTTTGGAGACCCCTGATGGATCTCCCGAAGCGAGCGCTTTCTCTTGGGCCCGTCCTCCTCTGCCGATGCTTCCGCCGCACCCTCCATTGAGGATCTCAGCGACCGCTTTCCGCCTGCCGAAGCCGAGGGCTTCGCCCTAGTCCTTGGTGACGCTCCCCCAGCCTCCCCCTGACTGCTTTGCCGAGTCTGGCGCTTTCCTGCCAGTTCCAGTACACCCACGGCGGGCTCTGTTGCCCGGCCAGCTGCCGGGCTCGAGTCTCCCAGAATGATCAGGTCCGCTTCTTTCTGCAATTCTCCCTCCCCTGCTTTCTCCACTCCCCCCGCCATCTCTTGCACCCCCTGAGGCGCTGTTACCGATTGGTCCCCCAAAGTGGGCAATGCCAGCAACGTAGCCGCATCACCGGGGGGCTCCGTCGTTCCATCACCAGCAGCCTCATCCGCCCCCACCAAAAGGTTCGAAGCCCCTGGAAAAGTGCCCGCATCTTCACTAGGGGGTCCTGGCGCCTCAGGCTCCTCAGCCTCTCCTGACCCCCCCAAAAGGTTTGCAGCCCCCGAAGAGATGCCCAGAGCTTCCGCGGCGTCTTGCACCTCGTTTACTGAAGCGCGCACTGCCGCCGCAGATCTTCTGACGGCCGACAGGGGGTTGGGGCGCGCGTACCCTACGGTTTTGCCGTCCTCCTCAACCATATCTACTTTGAGCGGGGGTTCCTTCTTCTGCTTCTTACCATAGCACGCGTGGCACAGCTTTGCATCGGGGTTGGCCCCTGGGTGCCACCGCGAACTGGACTCTTTGCCGCATGCCTCGCATGACTTGGCGGGGTAGCGGCTGGCGTTCCGCTCGTTGTCGTAGCAAGCGGTGCACAGGAGGCGGGACGCCTCCTCCAGGGGTACCAGCGAGAGCTCCACTTTTGCTTGCACTCGCTGCACTGGTTATCTGAGAGCGAGCGCATCGTTTTGTAGCGGGGGGACTGCTTGAGGGGGGACCGGCCACCCCCTTCCTTCGTGGTCAGTTGGTCGTGCTGCAGTGAACGACAGAAGTGGTTTTAGAAACGAAAACAAGGGAAGTGGAAGAAAGTGGAAGTAGGGTAGAAGCAGTCAGCGTACTTGCCTAAGAAGTCAAGACTGATTGGGAAGAGGCTTGTAACGATGAACCTTCAAGTGGGCACTTCTGAAGATGGGTCTAAAAGAAAGAAGATGCCGGTGTCTAGGAAACCAGAATGATCATTCGTGGGGGCAAGAAAGCATGAAATGACGAAAGGTTGATTGTATGCAGACTCAAAGGGGCTATGGTTTAGACCACCTGCTTTGAACCGCCCCACATTTCATCCTGCTTCCACTGCATTCTGGGCATGCACAAGCTGAGAACGTTCACACAAAGCACTTGACTGGTTGCACCAATTGCAAAGTACCACATGTGCATTGTATAGAAGGGAAAGCTGGGATGATATCAAATGGGTTTAGATCACATGTTCTGTCTCTAGGCTGCTAGAATACTGCTCAGCACCGCAATGACCCTTGTCAAGCCTCCTAGGTAGCAATGGAGACCATGCCAAGCCAGATTACAGCCTTGCATTGGCTAGCATACTGCCATTTGAGGACAGAGCAAAGCAGAAGCTCTTTTGCAGAATTGTAACCCCCACATTCATACCCACTGAGGTTGGTGCCAACATCAGAAGTGCGGTGGAAAAGTTGATGAACAAACTCACCTGAGTCCATTTCAGAGGCTGGCCTCAAAGCAGCTCCACTTCTTCAGTTGACATTGGCCTTCGAAAGCGCAACCCTTTTCTGGCGCACATCAAAAGAAACTTGCACAGTCAAACCTCTTTAGAAAATGCACAGAGGGTTCACAAATAGCGGAACATTGCGCCAGTAGCCTGTAGCCTTCCTGATGAGGTGCGTCTTCTTTCAAGCAGCTTTCTCAGCTCACTTCAAATTCAAGCTTTGAATTCGAGGATGCTTGCTGAATTGCTCGGTTAACATTCTGACATTCTGACTTTTTGATCGTCGAACGTTCCCCTGTTTGATCTTGGGGTTCAAAGTTCGACGAAGGGAGTGGGGTTGAAAAGCAGGGGTGCTAACCATAAGCTTAACAGCTCCCGCCAAATCCATGGCAGCTTCTCAAATCAAGCCTATCATATAGCCACCATTCTGCTCAAGGCACATGCCACAAATTACATAGACGAGGTCAAACGCATTGCAGTCTGCATTCTCCGCCCACATAGCCGATTGAACAAATACTCCAATAAAGTCTCTTCCAATACTCCTTTCCGCGTGTGGGTCTCTGTCCTGTAGAATAACCATAGCAGCACTTGCGCCCCACAAGGTGGTGAAAGCATGGCCGGGCGCGGGCGGGGTCGTGGGTGGGGCAGAGGGAGTGGTTTTGTGATACGAGACGATGACGGGAACATGGTCCTGCCAGACAAGCTGAGCGGGCCGCCGCCACTGTTCCCGGTGAGTCGCAGACCGGAGCTCCCCTTTGCTTGATGAAATGATGGTGTGGATAATTTTCGTGAGCTGCCGTCGTTTGAGATCAATAGTTGGTTTTGGCCAGTGCCTGGCGCTCCACTGATCGGACTTTTGTTTTTCATCCACGTCTGATCACAGCGTAGAGCAATGCTGCCCACTGCTTCCGCACCACCACTTGCTTTTCATCGCGTGGCGCTGCCCTTTCAGAAAGTGCCTCCCTGCTCTATCGCTAGCTTGTTCCAAGTGTTTGAGAAAGCGAGCTCATCAAGCAAATGGTTGTTTCCTGAAAGCTGTTTCCAACCATTCGGAAGGCCTGCAGTCTTCGAACGTCACACTGCCTGCGACAACATTGTGTTTAGCATCGAACGAGGAAAATAATCTGTGTCAAGGTGACTAGCAGATGATGATGTGCGTCTCTTGACAGCCCATCGAGAACCTGCCCGAAGTCCCTGAAATTGGAGACGAGGAAGAAGAGCTGCTGAACCGGCGGAGGCGCCTCGAAAGCGCTTGGCTGTACTCGCCCTACCACATCGAGAAACCAAAAAGCAAAACAGGTATGCCTTTATTTGTCTTGCTTGAGCTTTTGGAAACAGCCCACATGAGAAATTCAGAGCAATCATGCCTCCGCATGTCTCTTGTCTGGAGTTTATGCCACTTGAGGTTTTCCGGGAACAGCCCACATCGAGGAACGTGAAAGCGGGACAGGTGGGTGTGGCCGAGTGTCCAGGGATAGCCCATATTACAACAGCCCACATGCCAAAAATTCCACTTGCCAATGTCAGATCGATCAGAGCTCCTCCAAGACCACTTCCATCAGAAAGGGATAACAGTGGGGCTGCAAGTCTTGCAGTCTGAGGTACACTTTCAAAGCCTGGTCCTTACAACAGTACTTGCGGCTCATTTTAGTAATCTCAATGGTCCTCTATGCACCCTTATGTGGGCACCTAGAACGATAATCTTTATTTTGAACACATTGTGCTTCTGCTTTTTTTGCAGTGGGCTTAGCTGCAGAGATAGAGAGGTACGCTGATCGGTACCGACGAAACCCGCACGCCATCCGAGCGCCCCTATCCTCGGTCCTGAAGTTGACACCAAAACACTTTCCAGCCGAGCTATTGGGGCCAGGTAGGCATTCCGGGCAAGTCTGGGATGGTGTCAAATTTCCACCCACGTGACCCTGCAAGCTTGCCACGGGTGTTTTCTAAGAACCTTATTCTTCTCCAGGTATTCCCAACATGTTGCTGGATCAGAGTGGTTCTTTGGCTGATTTTATTTGCCTTCTTCTGCTTGTCAAAATGAAGTGTCAACAGGTGTCGCATGTATCATTAGGAGTCTCTGGCACCAAAATCCGGGCGTCACCACTTTTTTCATCCTTTGCAGAGAAAGGAAAAGGGCGGGGCGGAGGGGCCGCGCAAGCAACGGCGGCAAGCGCCCCCTGGAAATCGGCTCCTTTAGCAACCACAGGTTTGCCTTCGACTGCTTTTCAAACTTTAGTTTCATTGTCCTTATTGAATCCTGGCAGCCTTCACGTTTGTTTTCAATGAGTTCTCAGTTAAGGTCAAAGCTCGTGTTGGAAACGACTTTACGCATGCAAGACGCTCGCTTTCACCACGCGAATGCACTTATGTTTGTCCTAGTGAGGCTGCCCTCTCTAAGATCCCTATTATCAGGGCAGATGCTGTAAGATCTGTCGCAAAGTAGTCAGTTGCCCATCTGCCATGAGACGTGTCTTGAACACAAACCCACTGTCAATTGTCATCGCAGACATACAAAGGCTGGAGCGCCTTGCAAACCTCGAGCAGAAGATCGAGGCGAATGGGGATAAAGCCACTGTAAGTGACGCCCAGGGGACCCCTTTCTGACTGAGCCTTGCTGACGTCGACCCAGATCTTGAGACACCTGCCCAGATGCTGGGACGACTGAGTCGCTTTTAGTTCCTTGAAGTTATTGAAAAGAGTCAGCGAATGTTTATAGGTCTCTTTACCGTATGAGACTCTGCCGTTTTGGAACAAAGCTCTTTGCATCAACCACGAGCTTCGTGCTCAACACCTGGGGGGGCGCGAAAGTAAATGACTGTTCTGAGAATCTTTTTCTCCGTCAGTCTTGGAGAACCACTTCGGTGCGGACCGCTCTTCCACTACGATATGACGTTCAATGACACCAGAGGTCACTTGTCTGAGCGGTGACAGTTTCGGGGTGTCCTCGCCTTCTGATCTCGAGTTTTGTCCCGAGGATTTGGTACGGTCAATGCACTCTCTCCTTCCGCTTGCTCTATGCACCCTCTTTTCCCCGCAGCCGCACTACATTGGGATCACGAGAATTGTGACAACGGTCCGTGAGAAGCGCTGACGTTGTCGTTTATTCTTTGGTGCAGGAAAAGCCGAAGGAAGGCGAGGGCGGGGAAGAGGACGAGGAGGAGGCGCTCGATGAGGAGGACGAGATGGGCGAGGGAGACTATGAACAGGTATGAAAGCACCCCCCCTTTTCCGTGTCAACTTCTTCCTTAAGATGAGCCTCTCGCTTTGCAGCAGACCGGTTTACTGGGATCGCTGCAGAACGAACCCTCTCGCTGCTGGCAGCAGTCGTTTCACCGGCACTCCCTGAACAAACAACAAAGCAGAGGCTCTGTACCGTCAGAACTTTTCTAAACGTTTCTTAGAGTTTTGAAATCTAGCTAAGGTCCTTCTTGCTGCTGAAAGCCTTGCTGCCGGCTCTCAAAGGGTGCATCCAACCAGCTTGGGAGATTCTGCAAGTATCTCCGTTTTCAGTGGCTACTTCTCATCGCAGTCATGTGCTCCCGTGCAGGGCTATCAGTTCGAGGACGACGAGTTGTATGGGGACGACGACGATGCGTTTGGGAACGACGGTGAGCCGCGCAGCCCTTTTCACCCTCACAGTAGCAAGTCGGACAAAGTCCTCCTGTGAGATCTTACACTCTGAGGCCAGTGGAACGAACTATCTCGTTGCCGCTCCAAGGTCGCTGGACGTTCTCGGACGCTTAGTTCGCTGCTGACGTGTCATGTGCAGAGGGGCCCACTTTTTAGTACGGCTTCCGTTCGACGGCTCTCGCAAGGCCTGGGAGCTCTTTGGCGACACGTTAGCCGCTGGAATGAAGCCGGTAAGTACAACGGCAGAACCTAACGCTAACTAGAGTCAGCGGCAAGTTGCTCAGGCATCCCGCAAGCTTCATCAAGTATCCGCTGGGAAAGCTGTAGCTGTCGTTGAGTGGCATCGTCTCTTCAATTTCTGCTTGACCTTATCAAGTGGAAATAGACATGATTTTGGTTTGCCTGCAAGGTCACGACGTCGTAATGAGCGCATATGAAAGGCGGAATGTTCAGAAGCAAGCGTTCAGCTTCTGATTGGTTGCGCCTCGTGCAGGAACACTCTACTTCGGCACCTTGGATTGGGCATCTATATCATCATACTCACTTGATGTATCCCGACAACAATTCTGGAACCTCCGTTGTCCTCAGCTCATTGTGATTGAGGCCAAAATCTCTCAGTGTGCCGAATCCCAAAAGGGGTTGTATGTAGCATTTTGTAGTCTGCGCCTCGATCCTAAAGTTGACATCTGCTCAGCTCATGCAATGCTCCCTACAATGTGCCACTAAGAACATGGATGTTCGTAACAATGGAAGCATCGTCCTGCGTTATGCATGTTATAAATGAGCGCACCGCAGGTACGTTGCTCCATGGGGCCATGCGGCCTTGGAGATTTGCACGCTTGACTGCCCACAATGTGTGCGACAATTTTGGCCGTCGCGCAGTTTATGCGCATATGCAGCCATATACGTAGCGGTGCATTCCACACGCGTGTACACAAATTGCATGGAACCGAGAGTTCTTCGCGCAGTCTTTATATAAAGGCGCGGGCCATCTGGATCTATTCAAATGATAGTTTCTCATGCATACTGCGCGAGCAGCCTGGCCGTCACAGATGTATAACGACGGTGCGCTTCGGTGATTGGATTGATCATCTTACATTGCGCAAAAAAATCGAGGGACGAAAAGGATATCCTCGCTGTACTTGCGTCCGGCAGCTTATAGCTCAAACCTATTGAAATATAGGCACCGTCTTGCAGTCTGAACTTACTAAAGCAGTAAACTACTGTCGACCTCACAACTTAATCATCCGCTTATCAAACATACAGCTAGGCTAGGCCCCAGGATACTTACAAGTGACGTGGCACACGTCATGCTCTCCTCAACGGCTCCCACTGCTGCCCGAGCTTCTGGGCTTGGTTGCGGACGCCCGCATGGGCGTGAGCCATGAGGGCGCGCACTCGGACGTCCACTTGCGAGCTGGCCAGCAGGTCCTTGGTCATCGTCACGCCCTTGAGGTAGTGCAGGTAGAAGATGGCTTCGCGGACCTGTTACGAAATATCAAAGAGAGTTGGACGTGGCACGGAAAAAAGATCCATCAAACCATTTGCAAGAAACGAGGCGTGCACAAGTCCAACATGTGACAGCTTCTACTCTCATTACCCTTCGTTCCCCAAAGAGCTTGCATCCCGATTTGAGCGGAGAATCCTTCCAGAAACTTTGTATATTCATGGCAAAGTATTTGATCAATGTTTGTTTCATTTGATCACTTTGTTGTCCAGCGCCTGTCATCACTTTTGCAGTTGCAGAAGAAGTCAAGAGATACTCAGGTGCCGCAGGCAAGACCACAAGGCGCTGCATAATGAAATTGGAATCCAGCAGACATCGCAGAATGATGAACTAACCTTTTTGTAATCGGTGCGAACTTCGTCGAAGAGCTTGCACATGGCCATCAGCTGCACACGAAACGACAACACTCGCCTGAGAGAGTCAATCTTGACGAAAGGAGATTGGGGCACCGTTTCTAGCGCCCTCTACTTAGCACTAGTCTTCGGTCTCCTAATCGTCCTGTTCTTCACAGAAGCAATCAACGAGTCGGAGTATCGAAAGACTAGCCATTGCAGACAGAATCCAGCGAGTGTTACCAGCAGGCCGACCATTGTAGATGGGAAACGCAGCGAAAAGCCTCATACGGGCTTGTAAACCTTTATTCTGGACTTGCAAACCCTACAAATCAGTAGTATGACCACTCACTTCCTCCGGAGGCCCATGGTCCTCCTCTTCTTCCTCTTCATCGTCACTCTCCTCATCCGACGAGTCCAGCAGAAACGCTGGCAGGTTCACCACGCGCCGGCCCCCTGCCACTACCAGCTTCTTCCCGTTCGCAGCCCCGTTGCTCGCCGCCCCCCCCTCTCCCACCGCAGAAACTGCCCCCCTGGGAACGATGGCATTGTGAGCTGCCCCCCCCGCAACGGCGCTCATGCTCCGGCCCGCCTGCTGCTGCTGCAGACCCCTCCCCTTGCCCCCTTTTGCCGCCTTCGGAACCACTAGGGGCGCTGCAACAGCCGCTGCTTCCGTCATGCTGACGTCAGCATGCGTGACCCCAACGTCAGCGGCCGCCGCGCCTGCCGCCCCCGCCGCCTTCTCCTGCGGCCGCTTGCCCCCTTGGGACCTCTTCTTCTGGGGGGTGTGGGCAGCGGGTGTTGCGGCCCCCTTGCCGACATCAGCGCCGCTGGAGTGGCCCTTGCTGACGTCAGCGCCGCCGGTGACGTCAGCGGCGGGCGCCGCCACGGCCTCGTCGAGCTTCTTCTTGGGCGGCCTACCCTTTCGCTTCGTCACTGGCATCGTCGGCGGGCCAGTCTCTGGGGGATCCCCCACTTCGCCTTGACGAGTCTGTTCTTGGGCTGGCGGGCCTGACTGCTTTTCACCCAGGGATTCGTGGACCCCCGCGTCCGGGGCCGCGATGATCTTCTCAGTGGCGAACGGGCCCCCTTTCGCGGGCCGCGTACGTATGACAGCGTACCGAGCTGCCGCCGGCGGGGCTGCCAATTTCGAGGTCTCGACGCGCGCATTTCTCTTGGGCCTCACATGCGGCTCCTCCAGAGGAATCGGCACGGCTTCGATTCCCAGCGGCCCCATCCCTAGCTGCGACTCTTTCGAATCCGGCAGCTCCGTCGAATCCGCAGGCGGGGGGGACACCAGGACCGGATCCGACGGGACGGGGCCACCGGTCCCCTCTGCCTCGTGTCGCTCCAATTCGGCAGCCTCACTCAGATCTTCTGAGCGCACCTCGGAGCCCTCCGCGGCAGGGCTACACTCCTCCTCCGCCCGCCTCTGGCGCTTCCATTCCCTTGGAGTCCCTAGTGCCAGGCACGCAACTGTCGCGGCGCTCTGTCTCTTGCCCTTTGGACCGACCCCTTCCTCAGGGGGGATCGATCCCGCTCTCGGACTTGGAGTTGGGATGCGCTCCGGGGGAGGCGGTTGGGCAGTCACAGGCTGCGCAACTGATGTCGGAACGCTCGGAGCTCCATTCCGCATTGCCCCGGGGCCGAGAACGGGTTCTTGGTCGCTCGTTTGTCGGCTCGGGATGAGTGGCGGCACTTCGGTTGCAGGGGCGGCTGACCCTCGGGCTTGGAGCTCCGCAGTGGCACCCTTTTGGACTGCGGGTGAGAATACGCTGGCTATGGGCGCTCCGGGAAAAGGCACTGGAACGGGGAGCAGACTGACCACCGTCTTTGCAGATCGATCCACGACGACGCCAGGAAAACCCATCCGATGCAGCTGCAAGCCCCATTGATCCAGGAGTATAGCCCCTGCCGCAGTCACGCGGCCGCCGACGACGAGGCTTGTCTCAGTCCTGAAGATAATTAGTCTGTCCGATGGGTCCCTGGAGGCATTGCGGGACGCTCGGAAGCTGGTGGCTAGGATTTGCGACGCAAACTGATCGGCCACTGGGTCCCCAAGTTTAAAAGGTGCCCAGTGCCCGATGCTCGAAGTTGCAGGGTGAGCACTCGCGGGGGCCTGCATTTGCCCTGGTAGCGACCCCCCAGTTGGGGCCACCCGCCCACTTCCGAGCCAGCACAGCCCCGCTGGCGGCGCCGTAGGTGGGCGGGGCGCCTTTAAACCGTGGGGTTCGGTCTCCCGGTTCGGGACGGCCAGAGCTTTTGCCGCTGCCTGAGGGACTGGCTCGGCCTTCTCCTGAGGCACCTGCTCCCCGTCGTCGGTTATCGGGATCCGCTCTCGGATCAGATTCTGCTTGATCTTCTGGCAGGCCTTGGTTGCAGCCGCCCGCTTGCTCGACCGATCCAAAAGTTGCACGCCATCGCTTAGGAGCGGGTACGCTGCTGGCGCGCTTCTCCGTTGTCTCTTCTTGGGGGTCGCATCTTCTGAAGATGGCTCGTCTTGATCCAAGTCAACCACCGTCGTTCCCGGTTCGGCCCCCCCTTGCGACGCAGCCTCGGCCGGTGGTGCTACGGTCTGCGCTAGTGCCGCGCTCCCGCTGACGTCAGCAGCCGCGCTCGCGCTGACGACATCCGCCGCACCCGCCAGAACGGCATGCGCATCGAGACCGAGACCGATGCCCTCGTTGCCGAGGTTCGCTAGGAGAGCCGCAAGCTCCGTCATGCCCCCCGTGAACAGCTTCAGCGCACCGCTTTCTCGGTTTGGTGTCTCTGCTCCTCCTTTGGCCTGCTCGTCGCCTTCATTATCCCCCGCACTTCTCGCCTTCTTCTCCTTGGGCGCTTCGACCGCTCTGTCCAGCTTCCGCTTTCCCCCCGTTCCCCTGCGCCCCGTGCCGACAGCGGGTTGGGGATCTTTTGCTCTCGCTCTCGTTGCCCGCCTTTCCTCCCTAGCAACCAGATCAACATCGCCGACAATGCACAAAAGCTCTCGAGACACCCTCCTTTCCGAAGCTTTTGGAGCAGGTTTCTTCAAAGCTGCCTCCTGCGCGCTGTTCGCGGCCCCGCCCCGCGGCTTCTTCTTCGACGCGTCCGATGCTTCCATGACTTTCTTCAAGCTCATCTTCCTCCCCCCCTCATCGTCGTGCGACTCTCCTGCCGAGCCGCTCTGTCTCCTCTTGCCCAGAACCACGCCGCCCTCACTGATGTCATCTCCCCATCTGCTCGCGTCACTCCCCTCCACTCCTGCTTTCTCCTTCTCCCCAGCCGACACGAGAGTCTTGCGCAGTTTGTAGAAACTACGGCCGTCTGCGTCTAAGAGGCCGGCCCCGTTCGTGATCTCTTCGGCAGTCATCTTTCCGTCCCATGACCCCTTCTCAAAATCCTTTGCGCGAAGGTGATGGCCCTTTGGAATGCCCATGACTTGGAGCTCACTCCGTTGAAAACTCCGGTTCCACTTGCAGACCGCCTTTCCACGGAACTGCGGGCAAAACAAGAACGATGGTCGTTAAGCATTCAGAAAGTGATGCTAAAAGCACTCTGACACTTTTGACCCGGTACTTTAGCCTGTAGAAAGCAGCGCTCAAACGAGACGCAAGCACTCCAAGTCCTTGGTGCAACCTTCTCCGTCTGTACAGACAAAGAGCTTTCGACCTTGGCTTGCTTCAAAGCAGATCCGGTCAACGGTTTGCAAACTGCCGGAGCACCCGAGATGACTACTCCCCCTGCCTATAGAACGTAGCCAGTGTTTCACTTCTACAACGTGGGCGCTTTCTCGGGTTCAAAACTCTGAACCTTTCCACCCGTGGCCACCTACACTTCTAGATATGCCGAACTTAGGCTGTCAGGAGAGGCAAGCCCTGCGCCTCACCACTTTATGGGTCCCGTCAGCTTGCGCCTCGATCACAACTCCCTGCTTTTTGTGGAAGCCGGGGACATTTTTCATGCGCTTCGGCCCCACGGTGATGAGCACGATCGTGCCACGTGGCAGCTCCCGGCCGACTCGGAATCCAACGAGCGCCCGCTTTGCTGCCGCAGCATCAACCCTTCCTTCGGATGTCGCCGCACTCTCCACCCCCTTTGCCCTTGCGCCGTCGTCAATCCCCTCTTCCCGCTTCTTTCCGTCCCGGTCACGCGACAGCGGCCCCTTATGTGACGCGCCTTCTGCACAGCGGGCAGTCCCTGGTTCTTCAACGCCCGGCCTTTCGGTACCCGGTTCCTCTACGCCCGATCTTCCGGGGCTCAACTCCGCGTCCTCCGTCGCTGGTTTTCGAGCCTTTGCTCTCTGAGCTCCCGTTTCCTCAGGGCCTGTGTCCAGGTCCACGAGGGGATCACTTATGCCCAGCGGAGCACAAGCGGCTATCCGGCCGGCTGCCACGCGTCTATCCGTTGCTTCAATCTGTTGAGCCCGGTACTCGTACGTCGAGACTGAGTGGGGGTTGGTTCGGGCCTGAAAGGAGAAAGACACGTCAAAGACTACGGAGGGTAAGGCAGGTTGCCAAATGAAGGCTACAAGTGGCACTAGAAGCGCGACAAAACACACTTCACCAGAGTCTGTCAGTGGAGCACCTCGCCAATGTCTTAACAAAGCCATCAAAATGTCTGTTCTGCAAGTTTCTGAGCAGACTCTTTTGGCTCAGAGCAAAGCATCAAGAGCTCGCAACGTCTCTGCCACTTTTCAAGAAATGCGGGACTCCGTACAGACACTTGTCAACACAAGCATCAACAAAGTAAGACGGTTTTTGAAGTCGGCCTGAAATCTTCTGTGGATGAATTAACCAGCTCTTGCGCTGCTTGAAAACGTAGCAAAGTAAAGAGCATATTTCTTGGCTGCGTAGATGCTTCTGAAGCGGAAATGTTTTGGTGTATGGAAATGTATTCTAACCATAAAAAGAAACCAATCCAACTGCAAAGCTAGCTGCTAACTTCAAACTCTAGTGACCGGGTGCACGCCTGGGCAAGACCATTTCTGACGCACCTTGCACAGCACCGAGCAGAACGCCGGCACCTCGCCGCCCCTGAACGGCCACTGTACGCCGCAGCCATAGCACAGGCAGAGGTTGCCAGTTTGCCGCGTCTGGAAGTGGCGCGGCCAGATGGGCATCCCGCTCCAGCCCGATCCCTTCTTTGCGTAGATTCTGGAGACGTCCAAGTCGTGTGTGCCGTCGACCAGCATCCAGACCTGGTCTTGGACTCGCATCTGCGCAATCAGGGTTTCTAAGTTTGCGATGCAAAAAGGCTCTGAACGTGCACTTGGGAGTCTGTTCTTTCAAGCTGCAACAGATCGAGGTGATTTGCAGGTGTTCGGGTGATTTGACTTGTGGGTTCTTGGATTCTCCGCTTCTTAAAACTCTGGGTCCACTCCCTGAGTTTCTTGGTAGCTGTGCTTAGAATTGTGAGCTGTGAAAGCAAGGGGATGAAGCGCAGACTTAGATATGCCGTAGAAGGGACACGGCACGGCTCCATAATGTCGTCCGTCTCCTCCTTAATTTACGGCGAGCAGCTGACTTAACGCCCAGAAGACTGCGGTGCTCAAAATTCTGGCAGGATTTGCGAGGCCAGGAGATATAAGCAGGCTCCAGAACACAAAAGCAGATCAGAAGACCCCCACAACTCCGTACCTCTACTAATTCGTGGCCTTGATGATCCCCTCTCAAGCAACCGGCGCACGTCGGGCGGGTCTGCTGGGTCGTGCCGGCGCAGTCAAGGCAAAACACCAGCTTGCCATACTTGTGCGTCGAACACGGCTTCGCCCACCCCTTCTCAAACACCGTCTCCAGCCAGTCGGGGCCCCAGTGGCGCCGCGGGCCTGCTGCAGGGATCTCCGTAGCAGCTGCATCAGCAGAGGGATCCCCCTCGGCGACCTTCTCGGCGGACGCGCCAGCGTCAGCAGCCGTAACTTCTGCAGCCCCCTCTCCAGGCGCCCGAGCCATCCCCCCTGCTACCCCGTCGGCTCTCTCTTCCAATCCATCGGCTGATTTCTCGCTCTTGTAAACTTGACCCTCACCTCCCTCAAGAATCCGGCCCCTTTCTTCGCTGGCGGTGAGTACTGTCTCCGTAGCGTCCTCAACCGTAAAGGGGGCGTCGTCAACGTTCTGCACAGCTGCGTCGCTGCCCCCTTCTGCCAGCGTACCTTCCGCGCCTCCGCTCCCCGTCCCTCCTCCCGCCGCAGGCACAGGCCCCAGCCCCTCCCCGACACCGTCAACAACTTTCTCTCCCACTTCACTTCTCGCCGCCTCTTCTCCCCCATCCGCTGTCCCCTCTACCGGCCAATCGGACATCGCCATCGCTTCGCCAGGCGCTCCTGTGCTCGCAGGTAGCTTTTCCGTCCCCTCTAGAGGCGGATGAGGCACCGTCGTGACAGCTGCGTTGCTTAACCCGGCCCCCGAAACTCCTAGACTTCCAGGCGGGACGGCTTCCCTCGTTGCAAGCCCATCGTTTTCCTCCGCCCCACTCGCACTGCCTGCACTCTGGCCCGGAGCATCTCCTGCGGTCGCCAACAGAGCGACCGTCTCTTCAGCGGCCCCACCCCCGCCTTCTCTTGCCGCGGCAGAAGAATCCACGGCCGCCTTCATTGGCCTCTCGGCGGTCCCTCTCGGGGCAGCCTCAGCTAGCCCTTCCGGCGTCTCCATGTCCCCATCTCCGTTCTCCGTCTCCCGGCGTTCTGCATGCCCTCCCGTCGTCTGCTTCTCTGCTGCCACAGCCGTCGTTTCTTGCGCCAAGATGACGTCGCCGGTCCTAGGTTCGTCACCTCGGTCCGCAGTCGGGGGGTCCTCCAGCAGGGCGGCCGCCTCCAGCTGCTCCCCCCCGCTGCAATCTACTCCCTGTTCCGCGACCGTTCGAGCACCGTCCGTGGCGAGACTGGCTTTGCGCCAAGTCCGTCCTGTGAGGCCGTCAGCCTCCTCGCCCCTCAAGTCAAGAGCGTTGATAGACTTGAAGCCAACTGCTCGAAGGCCTTCTATCTCTCCAGCAACCTCCATCGGGAGCTCAGTCGGCGCTTCCGACTCTGCTGGCGGACCAGGCGAGGGGTCGGTGCTGGTGGGGCGCACTGACTTGGGGTCCGTGCGGGCCTGTTGGAAAGGAAAGCCGAAACTATCAAGCAGGTGTGGGACTAAGGGTACGGGTATTCAGGCAGTTTGCTGATCAATGATTAGACACGCGAGAAACGAGGATGTATTTATTGGTGTGAGTACCACACTTTTATGTTACCACATAAGCCTCTGTAAACTGAATGAACCTTTTCTACACTTTTCTCCACAGCTTTGAGTACCACGCCAGGCGTTCTACCGGGATTGCATCGGGATGTTTGATGAAGAGGTCCGACTCACAGGACCGCAAGATCTCGGACCTTACATTGCGGATCGAAATTGGCAGGTGGGTGGCATATGTGGTGTTGGATGTACGCGCAGGTCTTGCGAAGAAATTGCGGAGCGAGAGCAAAGCAGACTGAAGCAAAAGAAGGGAAAGTAAAGCACCGCCTCAAGAGAGAACCTGCGGACGACAACCAGATCGACGACTCAAATCAGATATCAACAGCTTCACCAGGAGAAACGAGCAGGAAAGTCCCAATTCGGAAAGCATCGAGAGTCCGCCTTGTGCACAAGATTGAAACCGTTGCAGGACGGATTTGCCGCTCCACGGATTTGCTCGATGCAGAAGGCCTCACTGCCCTCGGCAACGTGCCCAAAGAGCAGCGACACGATGCAATTCTCAGGTTGTCCACAAACGAGAAGAAGGAAAAGAGGACACGACAGACCTTGCACTCGAGCGAACAGAAGGTGCGCGCTGGGTCGTTCCGAAAGCTGGCTGGACCGAAGCAGCCTTGACAGAGGACGACGCTTGTCGTCCTTTTCGAGGACTGTACCGCCCAGATCGGGACCCCGTAAGGCCCCTCCGGCAGCTTTCGTCTGGGAAGGTCGGAAACCTCCATCTCCCCAAGGCCTGTGTCCACCAGACGCCAGACACCATCTCTAATTCTCAACTGCAGAAAAGCTGGGGTTTGGGAGTCAGGTATCGAGGATACGGAGGTACGAGCATCAAGCACTGCTCCAGCCGAATCAATGGCCTCAATCTAAGTTTCTGAAAACCGGCGACTTCGGGTTCCGGTGAGATCCATACTCCGTCCTTTCAATGGGTTCACTGTCATTCGAAGCATACAGCTGGTGCATCAGCTTCTGATTGACAGGTTTCGCCACAGCTTTCGTCAACCCATCAGAAGGACGGAGTGTGGATACGACTGCAAGCAGACGGATTGCCTAGGCATTAGACCATATAGCAGTAAGGATGTCGGCAGACCCGCATCGCCTTAACATTTTAGTAACGTGGCCCTTACCTCTATCGTGTTGTGCTCCTTGTGCTTCTTGTCGAAGCAGCCCGCGGAGACCGGCCGCTCGCATCCTCGCAAACCAGCGCAGTCCACACAAAAAAAACGCTTCGGCTGGGGGTGTTTGTCGCACGGCTCTTCCCACCCCTTTTCGAGCACCGCTTCCAGCCACGCAGGGCCCCAGTATCGTTCTCGGGGGGCCGGAACAGCTGCAGAAACAGCCCCCTCTGCCGACGCGTTGGTACATGGGGTTCCATCCGTTTCAGCAGCGGTTGCGATCGCTGTCCGCTCAACAGCCGCTCCATCGGCGGTCTCCTCGACGCCATCCGCTATCCCTTCCCCGGGCGCATCTGCTGATTCCTTCACAAGAGCGCCGACCGCCCCTTCTGAATCCGCCCTGGCTGAAAGCCGGCCAAATTCGCCGTTCAGACCAGTCGTGCGAGACTCGCCCGTCGTACCCGTTTTGTCATCGGCACAAGGTGGCAGCGCTGCGGCAGGCGCCGGCGTTCCGGCCAGTACATGTCCTGCTCTACCCCTGACAGCTGTCGGCGGATCCGGTCTACCCGCTGCGGCAGACAGCACCTTCCGCTTCAGAGGCGCGGTTGGCTGCTTTATGCCTGTTTGCTGGGGACGACAGTCGTCCACACTGGTTTTCCGGATCATGTTGGGGACTGCTCGAACCTGAAGAAGACGTCAACGAGTCAGACTGAAACACTCAGCCAGAAAAGACGTCACTTGAACGTGGGCCGGAGGCCGGCAGATGCCATTTTCTATAAAAAGTTGATGTACCAGAACAGAAAAATGCTTCTCAAAAGCACTGCGGCCAACAACTCTTGCACCCAAGCTTCCAAAAGGTACATGCGTCAAAAGACAGAGCGACTCAACCGAGGCCGATCGCTAGTAAGAGAAAGTATCCTTGTAAAGTTGGCCTACAAGCAGCACATGCCTGTTGCCCAACCTGTTTCAACCGCTATAAGCACTATGCCAGCTTCAAGCACAAGCCACTGTCATGCTACGTTATGTAAGAACAGCAGTGGGGCTCAACATTGTCTCGCTGAACTCGCGCACCTTGCAGAGTACCGAGCAGAATTCCGGCTCCTTCTTCTGAACGCACCCGCGCGCCATGGCCAGGCGACGGCAGCCTTTGCACTTGAAACAGGTCTGGTTCTTGGGCTCGGATTCCCGCGGCCAGATCACCGCTCCGCTCGAGTTCTCTGCTGCATTGTTTGTCTTCCGTCTGGCGACGTTGGACACGTCGAGGTCGTGCACGCCGTCCATTAGCAGCCAGTAGTCGGCGGACCAATGGCCAGGGGACAGCTGCAGGAGACTTTGCGTGGTTAGCATTCGGAGCATTTCAAACGCACGCTTATGCTCAGAGAAGTCTTTGCATTTGGAACTGAATTAACAAATGCTGTTTGAGTTGGACCTGAGTAGCTGTCAAAAAGTGCCAAGCCAGTGCAAGGCCAAACCTTAGGCGTGGCAGCACGGCTCTACACTCTCACGTACAATACAAATCCACCGGAGACCTTACATTCACAACCCTGTGTCCCTCATGCTCCTTCTTGACGCACTGAGCGCAGACTGGGCGCTCGTAGCCTGGTTTGTGCGCGCAGTCAATGCAGAACAGCCGCTTGCCCCCCGCATGCTCACGACACGGTTTCTCCCACCCCTTCTCCAGCACCGTATCCAGCCAATCGGCGTCCGACGGGCTAAGTGAGCGCGCAGCAGAGGCCCCCTTGTCCGTCCGGGTATCAGCTGCCCTCGCCGGGGCCTCCGAAGCAACTCTTTCACTGACGTCATCGGCGATGTTGAGAGCGTCAGCCAATTCAGCAGCGTCCACGCCTCCGTCTGCGACAATGTGACCCGCCCCGTTCCTGCCAGCTGCCGTTCTGGACTCTGTGGCTTCCTCCTCTGCTGGCGTACTTGACTGCGTCTGCTCTGCTTGGGGAAGGTGGCAATCGGCCGCACTTGTGGTCAGCAGTGCCTTCGGGTTGGTTGCCATCTGCAAACGAAACAAGCGGCCTGAGATGAACGCTTGCTTTGTCTGACGTGATCCCGGCGAGGGTTGCTGACACAAGTGACAGGGATGCTCTCAGGAGGTGAGTGGGAACGCAGCTTTTCATAGCCCTGTGAGCACATGACTACTTGCAAGAGCATCCAGTTCCAATCTGTGGATTGGCAGAACAAGAGAAGTTTGTCCATCCGAAAACGGACAAGCGCACTCAAAAAGTCTTGTCAACAACAACAGAATGAAGTTAATTGTGTTGTAGCATGCTAACTAATGTGCTTCGACGGTCTGATTGGGGTGACAATCTTCATCGTCCGCCTAGGCCATAGAAAGGGGTGTGCAACAGTCTGGGACTCAAATGGAGTGCAAGCTCATGTTGGAACAGAGGCGGAGTCTGAAGCCTGAAGTCTCGAAAGCCAAAGAAGGGCACAAAAGCAGGCGTGTCGGGCTGTGTTCGGAGCGCACCTTGCACTGCAACGAACAGAAGACAAGCTGCTCTTCGCTCCTTGCAGACAGGAAGCCACCGCAGGCCTTGCAGGTTAGGGCTGCAGACGACGGGCGTGCAGACTCTCGAGGCCAGATCCGCACCCCGGTTGCGCTGCCAACTACTTTACAGGGCAGGTCGGACACGTTCAGGTTGCGCCGATTGTCCATCACCAGCAGCCACTCACGGTCTTTGTATTTGATCTGCACGGGTTGAAGGGCGATCTTTGTCAGTGGTGCTCATTCGTCCGAGCTTTGAAGGACTCAACTTGTGCTGCTTCAAGAGCGAAAGCAACATTGCACAACATGTGGAACCCCCACAATCCAGTTTCAAAACGTATCCATCGCTTCAACCAGGAAAGTGCAGTGAACAGCAAGAACGTCACCATCACGTTAGGGATGAACCAATCAAGCCCATTACGAAAGACATTCTAAATTGCTCACGTCGAAAACCAAGTGGCCTCTGTGATCTCCCTTGCTGCAAGCTGCGCAGCAAGGCATCCCCTGACCCTCCGCACCGGAGCAGTCCACGCAAAAGATCCGAGCTGCCACCAGCTTAGGGTGGGCAGGACAGCGATCGGTCTCCCACCCCTTCTTAAGCAGCGCCGTCAGGTCTAGACCGCGCCTCTCCTGCGCGGTCAAATTACCCCCCACCGGCCCCAGAGATTCTGACAAGAGCTCCGTAGGGCTTGGCAGCAGCCTAGCAACTAGGAGCGGAACCAAATTCTGTTTCGGCGTCCCAGCCAAGGCCTCCGGAGCACCGTCGGCTAACCCCGCCGCAACTACTTCAGGCGCCCCCTGTGCCGGTGCCTCAGGGGGGCCCTTTTGCCTGGCGTCAGGCAATTCCTCTCGTTCCTCCTCTGCTGTTAGCGCATCTCTCCGCTGGACACCGCCCCTTTCACACTGGCCGATGCTGGGCTCCTGGCCTAATTGGACAAGGGCTGCTGTGCTTTGTTCTTCTACTGCCGCAGGGTTTGTAACAGAGACGGGACAAGACCCCTCCTCCGGCGTCCTTTCCCCAGGCACCGCACCACTGTCAGCAGGTTCGTCGTCCAGGGCTGTCGGCCGTTCTATTGGGGCACTTGGCTGCTCTCCTTCGCTTGGCTGCTCTCCTCCGCTTCGCTGCCCTTGCCAAACAGGCAGCTCTTCCTCGACCGCCACCCCATCCTCGAAGGACGGGTCTCCTGCGCTTGTCATTTTCCTGGCCCCCGGCTCCTCAGCAGGTCCACTGGAAGACTCTGCCAAGACCTCAGGAGGAGGGACTGAGAGCCCTCCCGCCGGGGGCGCAGTAGCAGCTGCACCAAGCGCCCCCAGTCCAACCGCGTGCCTTCCTTCCGCCGAGTCCCCCCCTGGCCCCTCGTTAGCCACACCAGTGATATCATCCGTCTCGATCCCCGTTCCCTCTGGACCCTGCGGCGCGCTCGCTGACATCAGCACGCCGGTGTCCACAGCCCCCGGTGTTTTATCCGATGAAGCCGCTGGGGTAACACTGCTTACTGGGTTATCTGCCTGGGGAAAGAGTCGAGTATCGGTTGGGGCAAAGACGGGGGAAGGGGTATTGGGATCCTCAAGAGGGGGCATGCGGGGCTCTGGCGATCCCTTGGTAGCAAGACCAGGGACGTTGGGTTGACTGTTGCTGCTGGCAGGGGGTCCCTGAGAGAGATGGGAGCCCAAACTCTTCAGTCGATCAGTCAAGATCAGACAAAGTTGGCACTTCGATGGGCCGGACTGCTCATTACAGGGGAGAAGCGACACAAATAGGTAGGGCTTTGGAAAGCCCTTTTGATCTTCTGGCAGCCGCATCGTGTCCCTCCAAGGTCGTCAGTACAGTGAACAACAAGAAGGACCTTCCAGGGACGTTTTGTTTGGATTCGACGGATCCGCTCAAAAGCAGGAACGCTGAGCACTAACGTTGTCTAGAGCAAACGCTTTTAGGTTGATTGAAGTAGTGTGAAGCTCTCAAGGGCCGGCCAAAAAACAGAAGTACAGAGCCAAGGGAACGGGCAGTACATGCCAGACTGCTTACCTGATCTCCCAGCGGCTCCTCCTGATCGCCTGCACTGCCAGGCTCCGCCCGTACCTCTGCTACCTGCTCCACCCCTTCCTCTACGGCGCCCCCCGCCGCTGCCGCCCAGATGGCAGCCGGTGGTGGGCTCACCAAGTTTTCGGCCCCAATCTCACTCAAGAGACTTCCCCCCCCATCCGATTGCAAGGTACCGCCCGCCCCCTGGCATGCCGCAGCCGCTTCGCTTCCCATTCTCTGAAAGAGCGGTCTGTCTGCTTCCTCATCTCCACTCTCAGACTCACTCTCAGAATATATTTGAAGCGCTGTTAAAGCCGTGCTGATTTGCGGTCCGCTCGCCTCCTCAAACACGGTGTGAAAGTCCTCTTCCGACTGACTTGGGCCCAATAGCAGTTCTACAACCCCCGTTCCGCCTGACATTGCAAGCCTCTGCACACTGGCGGCCGGGCTCTGCACGCCCGCTGCCTTCTCCATCCGCTTTACAGCCCCAGCTGACACCCCAAGGGAGCGCCCAAAGTCCACCCTCTCCCCGTCCCCACGCGCAACTCCCTGCGCCGCCATCCGGTCCAAATCTTGCATCCCGTTTGCACCGTTGAGCGCCTCTTCCTTCCCAGCAGGACCAGCGCCTCCCCTGCTCGGGCCCCGAGTGGCGACCTCCCCGGCGGCGATTCTGCTGCCAATTGTCTTACCATTCGCCTTCTCTACTCCAGCAGCGGCAGCCCCAGGCTTCTCAGCGCAGCCGATCTGTCTGGCGCTCCCACCCTCCTGCTGGCCAAAGCCAAAAGCAGAAGCCGTCCGCTTTCCATCCTCGACCACTGAGCTCCCGCCATCGCTGGGCCTCCTCTCCCCACCCTTTGTGGCTATCCCCGGGGATTCGCCAGGCCTCCTCTCGTTGCCCTTCGTGACCATCCCAGATGACTTTGGCGCCAGCACCTTTGGACGCGACCTGCTCTTCCAGGGACTGCCAGAGTCCACAGCTTCCACCGAGGCAGGGCTGTCCTCCCTCACCCGCAAGGGCTCCATCGCGGCCCCTCCGAAAGCCTCCCTGACAAAGTCAACATGTGGACCCCCTGCCTGCGCACCTCCAGACGCTCTGCTCGGAGTGTGTGGTTCTCCAGCGCTCTTTGAGTCGCCTCGGCGTCCTGGCGGGCCCTCAAGGATACCATCCTCCTCTTCCCTCATCCACAGATCTGCAACAATGGACAACTTCAAGCGAGACGCCGCATAGGCAGCATCTTTCCTCCGCTTCTCCTTAAAACGGGCTTCCCTCTCCAAAGCCTCCGAGGATGCAGGGAGCTGTTCCTCCGCCCAGATTGGGGACCGCCCGCTTCTGCCCCGACGGTCGTCTCCAAGTTCGCAATCTCTGCAGCTGACTTCACCTGTCCTCTTTTCCTCCCTCTTCACCTCCGGCAACTTTCTCAAACCCTCATGCGCGTTTTCTTCCAGTGCTACGGTCCACCTCGGCCTATCAGCCCTCCCGCTATCCTGACTTCTGCCTTCTTTCACCCCCCCTCTCTCGCTCTCCCTCTCCTTTCCTCTCGATTCTTGCCCCCGGCCCCCTGCCCTGTCTGAGCCCCTTTCCGAGGTTGTCACCGACTTTTGTCTCTCCGACATGTCTGAGCTTCTCCCCTTGCCCCTCTCTACATTCCTCTCGCTCCTTATATCTTTCTCCCCCCCACCCTCTTGCCTCCGGCCCCCCGCCCTGTCTGAGCTTCTCTCCCCAGTTGTTCCCGACTTTCTTCTCTCCGGCTTGTCTGAGCTTCTCCCTACACTTCTGCCCGCCGTCTCTTGCAGAGTTTCACCCCCGTCCTTCCGCAGGAATCCCGGACTGAGTTTTGATCTGGCGCCCCTCCCTTCTGAAGCCTGTTCCTCACGATCAAACTCTACAAGGGGGCTGATAGGATCGCCCTGGCCCCGCTCCTCTACTTTCGCGTCCCCTCTTCTCTTTTCACCTCCTTTGGAAACACCCTTGTCGTCCCCACGCCTGCGCTCTCTGTGACCCCCTTGCTCCTTCTCCGTGTGCACATTGCGCCCTCGTTCCTCTCGCCTCTCACTTTTCTCCCTCGACAGAGACCTCCTCTTCTGTGGACGCGCACGCTCCTTCTCCCGCTGCCTCCTCTCCCTGTCCGGCTCATCCCGCAGACTTCTCTCGCGTTCAGGAGAGGCATATTCTGGCCTCGCCTCCCAATCGCAGGATCTCGACCGCTCTCTCCGGTGATCCCTCTCTCCTCTTCTGGCATCACGGTTCCTTTCCCTCCGACCCTGCCTCGTTGCGTCCGCCGCAGGCGACCTGCTCTCTCTGCGTTGCGGAAGATGTTTCTCGCCCCTGTTCATGTTGGCCACAGGCTTCCCCTCCTGGAGAAAATCCCGCACAATTGCGTACCAGGGCTTGAGCTGGCTCTCGGCGCGACCCTGCCGGGGAATGTCCCCACGGCGCGATAGCGAAGCTCCTGCACGAAAGGAGCGGAGGCTTAGGGAAACGAAGAAGGATCCAGCAGATGTAAATGCAAGTGGCTGGTCACTCATTCAGGCAAGTTTGGGCGACCATTTT